TTAGGCTACTGCTACAGCTGCAGAAACTAGCTTCTATGAATACCCTGTGTTTGGCTCTGTCTGTTGTAGGATCAACAGCTCTGTGAGATAGTGCTTGCTATCCCAGCCTACCTTGTCTTCTGCCCACCCAATCAATTCTAACCTGCCCTTGACCCCTTGACACAAGCACAACTTGAAAATAGTGGGCATCCACCCTAAATTTCTTTTTATTGCATTTGCAAAGCGCAAGCTCCTCCTTAATACTCCTTATGATGTCTCTTCTCTGTAATGTTTTGGTAACCTGGGTTTGCTTTTTTGATCCTGTATGCTGTTTGATGGGTCTTTGACCATAATACATAATAATGAGTGGGCATCCACCAAAATTACTAGCCAAGAAACAAATCTCAGCAAACTTTTTGGACCGGGAATTTTTTGTTCACTATGGCCCCTGCCACACGGGGGGGGGGGGCACCGGCAAAGTGCGGCTTTTTAAAGCCGCACCAAAATAGACACGCCGCGGCGGGATCCCCCGGATCCCATGAGCAGCGGCACTGTTGCTCCCCGGCACAATCAGATGCCGGGGAGGAAGCCACGGTCGGGAGACCAAGGCAGCCGGCAGTTCGGCCAGGAGCCGGGGATGCGCCGGCAGAAGGACGCGCAGGCGATCCCATGGCCGTGCTTGCCGCAGCTGTTCAGGTTAGACCTCCTCAGGAGGTGGTTTATTTTAGATGTGGGTTTTCGGCCGGAAGGGACGGATCGGGGACGGGTGCACAATGTTTCCCAGATGTTGCGGTGGGATCGCACCCGTTTGCTGCGCCCCCGATCCGTCCTTCTTCCGGCCTAAAACCTTTCGTGTGACCGGGGCCTATATATGTTAATTCTCTTAGCAACACCTGAGGTTTCCTACCCATATTAGGTGTTAACTGTGGTGCATGCCCTTGTAACATCTAGATTAGATTACTGCAATGCACTCTACATGGGGCTGCCCTTGAAGTATGCCTGGAAGCTACAATTGGTATAGAATGCTGCAGTCAGAGTATGGCTCCAGTCTTATTCCATCTACCATACACTCTGGCCATCTTCGGAGGCCCTGGTTTAGTTGCTCCCACCATCTGAAGTTAGACAGGTGGCAACCCAAGAAAGGGCCATCTCGGTGTTGGCACCAAAACTTCCAAACTCCCTCGTCAGGAAAATTTGTCTGTCTCCCTCTATCAGTGTCTTTCACCAAGAGATGAAGACATTTTTCTTTCATCAGGCATATGCCAATAATGGTTACTGGCCCTCTTTCTGGTGTTGTTTATTTGTTTATTGAGTTAGTTTATGTGTTTATTGAGTTATTTTATATTTTAACTGCTCAAATATTTTAATTTTTTAATATATTTGCTGCCTTGACCCTGATTGGGTGGAAAGGCAGCATAAAATGTTTTAAATAAATAAATATCTTAGCATAACTAAGGAATGGACTCAGTATTTTTATTACATTTTAATTACATTTCACCCAATACTTCCAGCATTTCATGGCCATTTAACCCAGATGTTTGCTTGTTTTTATTATCTCCTACATAAATGTTTGCACAGTAAGAATTTGCATCTGAAGACTATGCAGCCCTCAAGATCTAGTCTGCAGTTCACCAGATGCAATCCACATGATCTAATCCACAAAAGGTTAAATTTTTTTGAGGTGCCACAAGAACATAAGAACATAAGAGATGCCAATGTTGGATCAGGCCAAAGGCCCATCCAGTCCAACACTCTGTATCACACAGTGGCCAGAAATACCAGTGCCATCAGGAGGTCCACCAGTGGGGCCAGGACACCAGAAGCCCTCCCACTGTTGACCCCCCCCCAAGCACCAAGAAGACAGAGCATCACTTGCCCCAGAGCCCCTAGCTATACCTTGTGGCTAATAGCCACTGATGGACCTCTGCTCCATATGCTTATCTAATTCTCTTTTGAAGCCGTCCATGCTTGTAGCCACCACCAGTGGCAGTGAATTCCAAGTGTTAATCACTCTTTGGGTGAAGAAGTACTTCCTTTTATCCGTTCTAACCCGACCCCTCAGCAATTTCATGGAGTGCCCACGAGTTCTTGTATTGTGAGAAAGGGAGAAAAGTACCTCTTTCTCTACCTGCTCTTTCCCATGCATAATCTTATAAACCTCAATCATGTCACCCCTCAGTCGTCGTTTCTCCAAGCCAAAGAGCTCTAAGTGCCTTAACCTTTCCTCATAGGGAAAGTGTTCCAACCCTTTTATCATTTGAGTTCCCTTTTCTGCACTTTTTCCAAAGCTATAATATCCTTTTTAAGGTGTGGTGACCAGAATTGCACACAGTATTCCAAATGAGGTCACACCATTGATTTATATAGGGGCATTATATATAGGTGCACAAGACTCCTGTTTACTTTTTCTAGGCAGTTCTGAGGAAAGCTTGTAAACGTTGAAACCAATTTCAAATCAAACCTAGGGGATCTTGCCCATCACTAAACTCATGCTGACTTAGAAACAAACAAACAAACCTGTTATAAACCTGATAAAGGATAAGTACACACAACACACAATTGCCAGGCTTTCCCCCTACATGTACCTGCAAAGAGGCTGGATGGTGCAGCTGGCAAGCATTCTGATTAGAAGTAACACGCTTCAAACAGCACACGGCCGTTCCGGCCGTTGGGCTGGGGAGGCGCCTTTGCCTCCCAGCCGGAAGAGACAGACGGCGTTGGCGCCAAAAGCGCCGCACACGGGACTTGAGAGGGGGTGGGGCAGTGTAGGCTTAAAGCCCAGCCCCGCCTCTCCTTCTCAGCAGTCCCGCGCGTTCGGCGGCAAAGGCAGAGCTCCGGTCGTGACTCCCCCTTTTACGAGCCTGGCAGGTTGCTATGCGGTATACAGATTGCGGTCCGGTGAGCACCAGCTGACACCCATATTTGGGGTTGAAGGGGTCCTGTGAGTACAGTCTTTGTGCCTTGCGGTACGGGGCGGGGAAAACGGACTGCCTTCGGGACGGCCCTGTTTAGGTCCTCTCTTTGAGCCTTGCGGCTTGGGGGATGGGGCTACAGGGTTGTCTTGCAATGGCTAGCCGGCCGGATGGTAGCCCCTGCAGTGGGCTCCCACCCGGGGCAGGGTGGCTTGCCCTATTGACAAGGTAAGGGAGGGGTCCTTGACCTCTGGCCTTGACCATAACGCAATTCTGTTTTGCCCTTGCCATTGGTTCCAGCTAAAGTTGTCCGTTAATAAAGTGGCCCTATAGTTAAACCCAACACTTGTGTCTGCCTCGTTATTTCCGGCTTGGGGGGCAAATAGCCTCAATGAACTGCTGCTTGCAAGGCTAAGATGCTGTCTCAGATACTAAAATGCCATTACTATTAAATTATTCTTCTAAGAGTGGTATTTATTTAATATTTTTAAGATGCATGAAAGGGAAAGGCAAGAAATTATTTAGAATACTATTTTATAAACTTTATTTTCCAGAAGTATAACATGCCTCTCTATAATCATATAAATATGAAAAAGCTTAAACCAAGGTAATAGAAATTTAAAAGCTTTAGTATTCAGCAATGACTCAGATGAGCCTGGATATGATAACCATCTTCAAGTACTTGAAGAGCTGTCATATACAGCATGACCACAGAGTTGTTTTCTGTTGCCCCGGAAGGTCAGACCAGAACCAATGAGTTGAAATTAAATCAGAAGAGTTTTCGGCTAAACATTAGGAAGAACTGCCTGACAGAGCAGTTCCTCAGTGGAACAGGTTTTCTCAGGAGGTGGTGGGCTCTCCTTCTTTGGAGGATTTCAAACAGAGGCTAGATGGCCATATGACAGAAATGCAGATTCTATGAACTTAGGCAGATCATAAGAAGGGAGGGGAGGAAGGGTTGCCTCAGTGCTTAGTATTTGTGGCCCTTTCTTACATGCCCAGGAAAATGCTGATTGCCACTTTGGGGTCAGGAAGCAATTTTTCCCAGGCCAGTTTGGCTGGAGATCACACATCTCCATGTATCTACAGTTAGTAGTTTAAAACAGTGGAATTCTAAAGAAGAGTTATATCCTTCATGCCGTCAGAACACGACTGATCCAGCCCGCAGTTGAATCCTCCGGCCAGCTACAATGTGTGTATAATTAAAAATACTGTATGTTGTCTTCCCTATCCCCCATGAGTATTGTTAGTCCAAATGTCATGAGTAACTGTAAATCGCTCTGAGCCCACAGGTGTGTGGGAAAAGCGATCAATAAATCGGAATTATTATTATTATTATTATTATTATTATTATTATTATTATTATTACAGAAAACAGAAACCAGTGCTTCAAGGAAAACTAAAACATACATATGTAACCTCATCACCGATCTACATTTGTATAATGGTTTTTCTCTGTGTGTAATTGTCCTGTCATTCAAATACCATACTTATGTGCAGTAACCTTTATCAGCACAATGCATGTAAAGACATACCTCTGTTGAACTATGCAGCCTGACGTTTTTAGATGATAGCTTGGCATATGCCAGTTATGAAAATGCTGATTTAAAATAGAATCAGAGTTGGAAAGGATCTCCAGGGTCATCTAGTCCAACCCCCTGCACAATGCAAGAAATTCACAAATACCTCCCCCTCCACACGTGCAATGATTGCTGTTCCACACCCAGAAGATGACAAAAAACCTCCATGCTTTCTGGTTTTTTTCTTTCACAATAAGATAAGAATTTAAACATAACTTTGTGAGGCCAAGGGCTTGAGTCCATAGAAACATTTCAAAGGACATAAGGATTTCTGCACAGGGAGAGCCTTCCTCTCCAGTGCAGCCCCCAGATGCTGTGCTTGGGGATTCTCTGTCTTCCAGGATCAGCATTTCAAGGGACATTTTGGGCAATAATGGGAAAGGGGGGGGGGAAGAAAGGCACACAATAAGCAGAAATTCTTCCATCCACAGATCCAGTAGATTGAAGCCACAGTCTTTCTGGCCTACCATTTAGTTTTCAGTAGTGGACAGTCTAATAGAGTTAGGCTTCCCATTTAATTTTTCCCACAGCATCTGGTACTTAGCAAACAAAGTTTTAGTTTAACTGTCATAGCTAATAGACATCAAAAGACACATATTCCATTACTTGTTTCTGTTTGAAAAATCAGATTAATGACACAATTTCCAAAACTCAATTCTTAAAAAAATAGTGCCTGCCTCTTTAAAAATATAGTATATAAAATGGTAAACTTGATTATAAACTGTACTCTTTAATGGCAGTTGCTCAGGACACTTATCCACATTGCATTATTTGCATTTAGGACAGGATGACAGAAACTTACAAATTATGCTATAATTCCCCCTACCATGCATACCAGTTAGCGATTTCATTTTAAATATACAGAGCTATTTAATGTTTGGTGGTTGAGGACAGACTGTGTTTCAATGGATGGGGTTGTCAGGGCAAAATCGTTTTACAGATCTAACACAAACACACAAGTATACAAATATTTTCCTACATTAACTCTTTCTCTAAGGTCAGACAGGTTCCCTTCTTTTCTGTATATTGCAAACTCAGGACTTTGGAGCACAGCTTCTGAACGGGTCATCCAACTGTGAAGTTCTGTTGTATCAACATCAAATCTGAGACAAACAGAAAAAGAGAATGGTTTCTTAACACAGAGTTTGTATAAAATTAGTTTATTGACAAAAAAGCTTGTATCAGGTGTTTTAAGCCAGAAATATGAATTAAAAGTAAAAAGATCCATCATAACCACCACAAAGAGAAGGCTCTGAATAGTCCAGTAATTCCCATAAAACGGTCAATTGTAAGATGTAGGATCTCTTTAGAAATAAAGCAGAGACTGTTCAACTCTAAGGTACTAGCTTGCCTTAAACGAACAGGTGCAGCACCAGTTTCATATGCTCAGTGCCATTTTTGAAGAGTACATCTCTTATTTTTTTCACAATACATGAAACTAGTGAGTCTTTTTTTAAATCAATGGATGATCTTGTTGGTTAACCGAGTTTGTTGCTGTCATTGGAGGAAGTTGGCATGGGTCTGTGTAGGGATGTGAGAAATATCTATAATTTTTAAAAAGATGACAATTGCATATTGTAGATAAGTGTCTCAAACAAGGCATAGGTTTATAAATAGTTTGAATGGATCCACAGAGACAAAGAGAGAATAAAACTGTGATGGCAATACCCAAGACCTTGAGAAATTCAGTCACCTCTGAAGAACAGACAATGATGTGCAAGAGCAAAGATTGTTGTTTTGAATGATGAATAATTGTCTGCACCGTTGATGTTTTGAACTGGGAACTCTGAGCAGTAATTTACCTTGCAGCTTTACCATTAAAAAACAAAACAATACCCCAAAACCAGCAAACACTTTTCTATAACATTTTTTCCATAGCAGATTTTTTCCATAACAGAATTTTTTCCATAGCAGAATTGTACAGAATTCTCCATTTTAAAAGTTGTCAGTTTCTTAAAACCAAACAAACAGGGGGAAAATAGTATTTTTGCACTAAAGCAACATTACTAAAAACTGTTGTGCTGAGAAAAGGAGCTAGGGCTTACAGCCTTTATACCTACATTTCTTGAATCAAACATCTCAGTAAAAAATCAGCAGCTCTTGCAAGATATATGCTAAACTGAATATTGCAGTTTTACAAATACTGAGGTTATTGACCAAGTTAATGAAGCTTCCCTGCTGTTCTACACGTTCTTGTTATAAACCCCCTCAACAGTGGATGACTCATAGAATAATACATCCCAGAACGTGCCATTTGTTTACACCACCTTCTCGATTCCCATGTTAAGAGAATCAATACAATTACCTTCATGTAGCTGACATTTCTGTATATCATGATGAATATCTAAATTATTAGAATGGAACTCTATCCACATCGAAATTACCTGTCCCCCAGGGAGAAGGGAATTGATGTGGGAAGGAATCACATCATAGGGTTCAGGAGCAGCATGGGGCCCAATCCCAGGAAAAGAGCTCCAATGAATATAATACATGACTCATGGAGTAGATAGACCATCAGTGACCTATTACTGAATTATTTCCAAAGTCAACTGTCAGAGAATGTTAGCAGGTATAATTTTGTGAAAACTGAGAACTGGCAAGTACTTTTGTGGCAAGTCCTGTGAGAAGGCTATCAATATTATGAGATTTCAGTCATGTGCTGCAAAACAAAAATTCATTCCGCCTAAGCAAATCATTAAAAATACTTTTATAATTAGGCACTATCTTAAGTTTCGGCTGTCAGTATCCCTCCTTATTTTTAAAGGATGAGATTGATCTAAAATGCACTGAATGTGAAGACACTAGGTGGAGCAACTATCCTGCTTTTTAATATGTCTTTCCTTTAATCAAAAGATAGATATCCAGCTTCACATCTACAATGGCAGTCTGACAGTCTTACATATTGACATCCCTTGGTACATTTTCAAAATAATTTTCCTCGCAGTGCAAGAATGAAAAGTTAAGTAATATCTTCTTTTGAAATGTGAATAATTCAGAACTATTTTATATGTTGTAAATAGTCAGGGTAGCTTTTAGACAATGTGTCACCTATATGCTATGTTATAATGTATCACTCATAGAGGAAAAGGAAAAATAAGCTATAGTGCTCCATTGGGAAATGTCTGGGATGTCCTGAAAAGAGGAACTGAGATCTCGGTACACCAGCCTCATACATGAAATGGTGGATGTGAGAAGCAATTTGGCCATGATCATTGCATGGAGCTTTTGCAGTAACCCTAGAGACTGCTGATATTGTTTCTGCCTCCCATCAGTTCTGGTTCTTATCTTGTGCTGATCTTAGGGGGGGAAAATAACATCCTGGATAGCTTTATTTCAACTTCTTTTCACCACCCACTTAGAGTGGTTTTTAGAAGATAATGAAGCACTGTCAGTCTAATGTGCAGTCATTTCCCTGTTCAGATGGTGGTACTTCCTCTAACATTTGAGAGGAAATTGCACATGCTAACTTTAGGAGCTGTGTCTTGTCACTATAGCTAACACATCCCCCCTGCACAAGTATATTTCATGTTACCAAGAAGAACTGGCAGCTGAACTCAGTTGTGCATTTGGTTGGTGATGCTCTAAAGCTGTTTTTAGCTTAATGGAACAGTGTAAAACCTTATGCTGTGGCAGAAGGTAGGATTTGGCTGGATCTACACAGGTGACTTATTTTTTTAAAAGTGAAAAACTGAGCAATCTTTAAAATCCACTGGCACACTGAATATGGCCCTTGTGTAAGCAAAACACTAACACTTTAGCTTTCCCTTCCAGTATACCAGGGAGCAGATGCCAGGTGTAGGACCATCATCCTGGTTCTGTAGCTCAAGTAACATTATACAAAATTCCACTTTTACATCCCATAGATTTCAGTAAGGCTAAGCAAACTCTCTCACTGAAATAAATGGCAATCCAAAATGATGAGCTTTGGCTGTATCAGGACTAGAGCTTTTAATGCCTTTCAGCTATCTACAGACCACAAATTGCCTTACCAAAAATATACAAAATCTTACTATGAATCATGATTAGCAGACTATATGATATGGTTTAAGAGTCAGAGCATGCTATTGTAAAGTTAGTTGCTCTCATAAGTGCCAGTTCTAGGCCTCAGTCCTAACTTGCTCTGACAATAGGAAGAATGAACTATTATAGAAATGTTTCTCGGTAACACCTTAGAAGCTCTTCCCTATTACTACCACCACACACACATTACAGCCAACACAGTCTGAACAAAACTTTCCCTGAATTTCTCATCCCTGACTCAACTTTTCTGCATTGTGAGGCTAAATATTTTACTTCCTTATTTTATTTTTCTTACAGGGGGGAAAAAATCACAATCCCATTCAGTTGTGTACTAAAGTATAATGACCGGGATTGTTTTCCTTCCCACTGAAGCCTATTGACCCTATTAAAATTCTTCTAAAGGTGACTTCCGGTCGACGGAACAGTGATGGTGGATGCTCTCCTCACAATGGAGGAGGGTGAATCGCATACCAGCGGCCTGGTGGGGTGCCACCTCAAGTGACACCCCTGCGGAGCCTTTGCGATAGGTTCCAGACCAAGCGGCTTTTGAGGGGTAGCCTCTTCGATGGCATAATGCCAGAGAATTGAGGCTCCCCTCCACCCTGAAGGACCAGTTGCTGAGTGGCCTTTGGGCACAAGCTGGACTGACCGGGACAAGCACCGGAGATCGAGTGGAATGGCGTAAAATTGAGCACGGTCAGATAAATTGGCTGACAATGAATGTGAGTTCAGAATAAAACAAAGTAGTTTGAAAAGTGATTCTCCTCCCCCCGCGATCGAAAACAGAGATTCCAAAGAGGGATGCCTCTTTTGCGAGAGCGGTAAATGGACATGAAGGGGGTGAAGGGAGGAAGTAAACCGAAAGTCTTTTGAGAAACTTATCTGAATTGCGAAGTCGTTTGGCGAGTTTTCCAAGTTTTGAGGGAGCGGTAGAAACTGTAAACAAAACCGGAAAGATGGCGGCCCAGCAGAGAAAGTTTAAGACAAAGCCGGGTGGGCAGAGCCCAAGGCCAGAAGAGGGAACAGATGTCCTCAAACTCCTGGCGGATATGCTTAAGCCGGTGATGGAACAACTTGATGGTATTAACCAGCAATTAACTGTGATGAACAAAAAATTTGCTGCGCAGCAGCTCCATCTGAACAAAACAGAGAAAAAAGTGGAGCAGGCAAACGAGAAAATTAAAGAGATAGACACCACAAGCAAGAAGTTAAAGAAAAGGATGGGAGAGGTGGAAATAAGGCGGAATTGCCAAGAGAACCGAGTTTTACAGCTACAGATGGAAAAAGCTAACATGGTTCTCAGGTTTCAGGGGGTTCCTGAAACAGATCGAGAAGATTTGAAGAAGGTGCTCAGTGAACATATCACTCCAGTAGTAGGCTTAACAGCGGATGAACTTGTAAACAAAATGGAAGTAGCCTATAGGGCATACTCCAACTACATTAAAAATAATAGCCTACCTGGAGAAATAGTGGTCAAGTTTGTAAGAAGACAAACTAGGGACACCATTTTAAAAGCAACCTCAGCAACTCCACTGAAAATGGGAAATGTAATCATCAAAACGTTAAAGGACATTCCATTTGAAATCAGACAAAAGAGGAAAAACTACAAGGATCTAATTTATTTTCTTCAAACAAATGGGATATGGTTCCGGAAGGTGTCATCTTTAAAATCAACGATAGAAGAGAGAAGATAGACTCCACTTTTAAAGCTAAAGAATTTTTGAGACAACAGCTAGGGGAAGAAGAAGAGTCCAAAGAGGAAGAAATGAAGTCTAGTGACTCTGTTACCTCAGGAATGGAAGAGGACTCTGCGGCAGAAAAGGGTGCAGGACCTGCCAGAGTGGTATACAATTTCAAAGACAGAAAGCCAAAGTAAAGGCAGAAGGACTTGGAAAATGGCCTTTTGAAGCAAAGAATAAGAAGATGATCAGAGATTTCTCTCATAACAACTAACAAAATAACATATAAATAGCGAACTATTATAAGCAAGAACTCTACAAGTATATTGTGACATTAACTCTAACAGTACTAACATTTTAACTAACAGTGAAAAGATCTCCTCCTCTTGGGGTTTTAGATTAGTGTGGTTTGCTTTCCCTTCCCTATTATTTCTTTGCAGTTTTTGTAGTTTTGCAAAATAAAAAATATTCCTCCGGGGATTAAAAAAAAATTCTTCTAAAGGTCAGGAACTTTTATGAACAGTGTAGGAGGCAAAGTGGCGGTTTGCAGTGGGGAAGAGAACCACCCAAAATGTCCTTCCTCTTCTGTCAGCAGAAATGCTGCTGCCCAAGTACCCCAATAAAGACATGAGACCACAGTATAAATTTAAGTAATTTATTCAAATCTGCTGGGCAATGTCATCAATTAGTTATGCTAATATTTAATTGAGGGTGGGCTCTGCTAGGCAGCCTATCCATGACTGCCTTTTCTGGCAAATCAACCCTGGCTTCGAACCCTGGCTACCACCGGCTTTGTTTGACACAGCCCACAGATACCATGTATAGAGGTGCCCAGCCGCAGCCCCCTTCCCTGATGTGCTGTAAAGCCACTACCAGGTTCAGGAAGATGCTGCTCAGCACCAAAGGCATGCCTTCACAAGTCCACCCAGTCATAAAGCCAGTGATGATCTCTTCAGAACATGTCCTCCATCATGCCTGATGGCTCAGGGTGCTCGACAGTGACCCCTACCTATCAATGAGCAACCCATTCTATCCCTGCCAAACTAGTTAAGGCCTAAACTGTCAAAGACCAGCCCCAATTAAGCTCTTAACACCACCAACCTAAACATCACAAAGCAGGCAAAAAAAAAAAAGATCTAACCAATAGCCAGCCAGTGAAGAACCCCCACAATTCCTGTTTGGCACAGTGACTAGCTGATCCCGTGATATTCTACAGAGGGTGGATGGGTTGGTAGCAGCCGGTGACAAAAAGCTGTATTCATTAAGGATAGGCAGTAATATATAGCCTCTTCTTCCTGAGTTCCCATTGGATGGCTGGATTCACTTCACAGGCAATTTGGCCTAGGTCTGAGGCAAATCAGTCCCCAGCTTACTGGCTGGGAATGCCCTTAATGCAGGGTATTTTTGTATCTAACCACATATTATTAGCAAAGTATGTATATAAAAGTCATGGGCCTGATTAACTGAACAAGCTCCTGAGCTACCAAAAATTATTCAATTATAGTTGGGATGAGCCAATATAAGGGAATGTCTGGGGAAACACTGACCCCCCCCCCCAAGTGCCCCTGCCACTTCTGCAAGTCTGAGGGGGAGCTCTGCCAAATCGGTACAAAATTTCCTACTTTCAAAATAAAAATGTTTCCTCTATTATCTCTGATATTTTTTTACATAATCATGTAGTTAGTCCTGTGATATCCCCATGCTTTTCATGATATCCCTGATTGGCTAGATCATATAGTGATAGCAGGTGTTGAGTGAAGAAATGAATATGAGTGAATCGGCACAATCAAAAGGCATGTTTTGGGGGACTTTCAGAGAACATTTCAGCCTACACCCACCCTTTTTCAAGATCAGAAAGTTTCTTTATAAACATTCTGAATAGCCCTTAGTATGGTTTTTCAGAGCACTAAAGCTCTCATATACTAAAAACAGTAGATTAATGGTTTAGTAATGATGTTAAATATTTCCACTTACAATTCCTCTTGATTAAAAATACCTCCTCATGCTTTCACTTTTTTCTAATTCTCACCTTTTTCTAATTTCTGAATCCACAACAATTTGTCTCTTCTTGTGAGGTGGAGGTGGTGGAAGCTCCTCTTTAGCATGCTTAACCAGGATTTGCTCTCTGGTGGTCACCATAGTTACAGTTTCCATTACTGTTGTCTGTGTTAGTGATGTCTGAGAGGTAGCAACAGCCTGTGAAATCTGTAAGAAGTATTGAAACAGAGGTCACACATTACTTGAAAGATTTTAATAAAGACTATTCGGAGTGGCAATAGAAAATAATGAGAAACTGCTCTTCCTTGTTCATGGATTGACTTTCGAAACAAAATAACACTGTATTGAACTCAGACCAAATTGTTTTATCTGACTCATGCTAGGTGAATGAGACATATGAAAAAGTCAATATCAAAATCAGGAGGAAACCTTAATAGAATAATATGTATGGTGCTTTCTATATCAAGTCAGGCAAACAAAGACAAAAATCTTGAAGTTCAGTTTTGTGGAACAAATGACAGAATGTTTGCAGCCATGTTCTTTAATTCAAAAACTGACTTTTTTAGCAGAGGAAGAAGACATGAATTAGAAAACTAAAATAAAAGTAGTCACTGCTTTTCACAACTATTCAATTTATTTTGCATGTGTTTCTAAAAATGTAGCTGTTACATAACAGAAAAAGGAACATGCTTGATGGCACTGATGACTCTTTTTCCTGTACACCCAGGAGCATCATCATCTATAAGAACATAGTCAACCAGATATAACTCAGTGGTAGAGCGTGGAATGGGTTCTTTCCACAGTCCTCATCCCTTTGAAATTGCTCCTAGTCTTGCCTGAAGCTCTTCTCTTTATAAATACAAATGTTACAGTGAAGTTGATCCTGTGATGTTTCCTGGCAATCCCAGGACTGCAATACAACAGATTCAGGGCTAGAGTACACCAGCAGATCTGACATGATCTAAATCTCTGACTTTATAAGAGAAGTGTTCATGTGAACCAAGAAGTATAAGGAATATATTAAAAGTAATTATAAAGGTCTGTATTCCACTTTCTGCTACAAACATGATGAGATTGTTGACTGACATATTCTTGGCATAAGAAAAAAACAAGTAAAATTAAAATTGAGATGGAAAGCCTTAAGCACAGAAGACAAATAAATGGCAGCAAAAAGGCAGCTGTTACAACTAGGGATGGGCACGAACTGGGAAAATGTGGTTCAGTTTGTAGTTCATGGCCAAACCATGAGCCAAACCATGAAACAAACTGGTAGGTCTGTTTGTGAACTGAACCGATTAGTGTTTCATCACCCTGCAAATCCCATTGAAAGGGGCCGCAGTCCCTTTAGATGGGGTTGCAGAAAGCACAAAAAACCCAGCTTAGCCACTCAGCTGTTTCACGCTGTCTTGTGTAGTCCCTTTTAACTTTAAAGGCACTGCACAAGACATCCTGAAACAGCTGAGTGATGGGGAGCACCTCCCTGTTGCTCAGCTGTTTATGTGGCTTCTGTGGGGAACAGAGAGAAGGGGTTTAAAGAGACTGAATTCTCTGTAAACCCTTGAGTTCTGCTCCAACCATAAACTCCCATGAACTGCTTTAAAAGTTTGTGTAAATTCATGATGGTAGACCTGGCATGGTTTTCTGTTCATAAACCATGAGCAAGGCAAAATTTGTGATGAATTTTGCTTTGTGGTTTGGTTCATGCTGCGGTGCTCAAGTGGTTAAGACGCTGAACTGCAGGCTGTGGAAGGTCGGTAGTTCAGCAGTTCGAGACCCGAGTGTGCCGCATGACGGAGTGAGCACCTGTCTCTCGTTCCAGCTCCTGCCAACCAGCAGTTCGAAAGCAAGATATTGCAAGTAGATAAATAGGTACCACTTCAGTGGGAAGGTAACAGTGTTCCGTGCGCCTTGGTGTTTAGTCATGCCGGCCACATGACCACGGAAATGTCTTCGGACAGCGCTGGCTCTTCGGCTTTGAAATGGAGAGGAGCACCGCAACCCTAGAGTCGGATTTGACTGGCTTTTGAGCAAGGGAACCTTTACCTTTGGTTCATGCCCATCCCTAGTTACATCCCCCAATAAATGCTACGCTCTGTGAATATTCCAGAAAGCCTCATCTCCAGGATGGAAAGTTCCTTAGTATTCAGCTTGTGAATATTCCCTATTTTGTTTCTTTTTATATTCATTTATATTATTGTCAACAGTCTCAGTTCTCTTCTTTTCACTGCTAGTTTTGTAGATTCATTTGTAATGTGGTGCTTGTGTCGTATACTGGAATATAAATTTTAATCTTTGCCCATGGCGGCAGCATGCCTCCATGAGTGAAGGTAAGTTAAATGCCTTCTCTCTTCACTGGTGGAGGTGTGCTGCCCCCGTGGCACAACTCTTAAAGTGAAGGGGAGGCATTTAAAAGGGCCTTCCCTTCATTTGCAGAGTCACATCACCGCAGCAGCATGCCTCCTCCAGTAAAGGGAAGTTAAAGGCCTTTTCCCTTCACTGGTCAATTTGTGCTGCCATGGGGGCACACCTCAATGTGTGAAGGGAATGCCTTGTCCAAGCTGTGCCGCTGCAGCGATGTGACTCAGTGATATAGCTGGCCTGAATAAAAGCTGAATAATACCAACTTTTATATCAGTAAGTGAATCAGATTGTCTAATCTGCATTCAGATGAATAAATACCTGAACACACACCCCTAGGGAGCATGCAAGGCTTTCATTGCTTCTCAATAGCTGTATGCCTTCTGTTGTCCTTTTGACCTGATGTGGCTGGCCTTTTCATCTCTCCCTCCAACCACTGTGACATATTTCCCCACAGACTAGAAAAAAACTAGCTTATTGTTCTACCTGGCAGGAGGGAGAAAAAAGATCAGAAGGAGGTTGGGTGGAAACTACATAAAACTCTCAGAGGAAAACTGAAAGGTTTAGCTGTCTCTAACCAGATAGCAAAAATTAATATACATGTGCTAAGATAATATATGATGCAAGAGCTTGCAGTTTTCTCTCAAGTCTTGAATATGTTTTCAATTTTGCTTGTACAAAACTAAGGCATTTATAACTTTTAAATTCCATAAATATGTCAAATATTGCAATTTGTTATAAGTGATGCATTTTATGTTGTTAAAGCAGTAAAATTAATTTAGGCTTGAAAGGCTAGTAAGTTTGCATATATTTCAGTTTCCCCAAATATGGGTTTTTTTCTGAAAAAATTGGGGGAGGACTTTTTCCCCACAACTTTGAAATTTCTGAAAATTTTACCCCTCTACTCACACCACTGAATCATGACTTTAAAAAAAAAAGTTTAAAAAATCTCTTTCTCCCAAGAAAAACACAAAGAGATTCTGCTGGATCAGATTTATGGTCAATCTGTTCCAGTATTCTATTCCCACAGTGTCCAGTCATATACTCCAGAAAGACCACTGCTGGGCACAGAGCCAAAACTACCACCAGTTGCCCCCCCCCCCAACCAGGCATTCAGCGGTATACGGCTTCCAAACACAAAGACTCCATTCAGCCATAGGGGTTAATAGCCATTGATAGACTCACCCTTTACCTTTTTCTAAGCTTAAAAAATCCCACTCTTCAGTGCTTCCTCATTGAGAAGGTATTCCATCATTTGGTCACACTTTATTTAACCCTGTGATACCCTTTTTGAGATGGGGCACCAGAAATGTTCACAGTATTCCAAATATTGTTGCACCATAGATCCATACAAGGGCAGTACAATACTTGTGATTTCATTTTCAGTCCCTTTGTGATGAAGGGAGATTTGACTCCCCAAAGCTTATACTACCAAAACTTGTTGGTCTAAGGTACTACTGGACCAAAATCTAGCTGTTCTACTGCAGACCATTGTGGCTACTCCTGAACCAGTCCCTTTTCTGATGATCTTGGACATAGAACCTCACTTTTTCACTGCTGTTGTACACATAATTGATTCATTTACATACAGTGACTCAAACGTTGTATCCTGGTTAATCACTGACAATTCTGACATCATCAGAACACATAAAAATTGTTATTTTGTCCCACTATACATTAGTAATTGTACTTCCGAGAGTCAAAGCTCCCTTCACCAAAAGGGAACTTTGACTCTTGAAAGCTTACTTTTAAAGCTGATTTTTAATCAGATCTTCTATTGAGGACCTTCGGCTACCTGCATCCACTATAACATTAAAAAACTTATTCTTACTGTCTAAGCACTGTTGCACTAGCCACTTTTCACCAAGAGAGGAAGACAATGTTTAAAATAAACTCAGATTTTTTTTCAAACTACATGCCAAACTGCATCAATACTACTTCAAGCACTTTACTGGCTTATGATTTAACTGTAATAAACGGACAGAGTAATAATTATTTTAAAAACCTGCTTAGAACTGCTCTCCAGCTTCTGTGCCAGGTTCTCCCAGCGCTGGACGACATTTTCCAGCCAACCTTCCAGCTTCTGAGACAATGCTTTATTTTTTACAGATGAAAGGAGATCCTGGATGAGTATGTTCAATTTATCCATCACCTTTCTCTTGATCTCTAGCTCACCTTTCAAGACCTGTTAAAATAAAAGAAGCCATCCAGACAACATATTATTAGTTAACCAAAGAGAACAACTGGTGCCTCTTAAATAAGAAAGACCTAGTAAAATCATTATATAATGGAACTGTGTTTCTAGAAAGACAGCATTGTTGGGAATATAGCAAGAAGTTTAAAAAGAAGATGTGATGAACTAGAATGTTAAAAATAAATTAATACAAGTGCATTTGTTATCTACATGCAAAGCAGCAAACTGTAAAGCACTTTTACTACATGACCTTTTAACTAATTAGGTCCCAAAAGAGATTTAAAAGATAAATGTAGCTAACTTTTAAATGTTAATACAAATTAAGAATACAATGTCATTTTCCACAATATAGTAAAGACTACTAGTTCCATTAAAAAAAACCTAAGATCATGGCATCCGGCCCCATCACTTCCTGGCAAATGGAAGGGGAAGTCATGGAAGCAGTGACAGACTTCACGTTCCTGGGATCCAAGATCACTGCAGATGGTGACTGCAGCCATGAAATTAAAAGATGCCCGCTTCTTAGGAGGAAAGCAATGGCAAACCTAGACAGTATAATAAAAAGTAGAGATGTCACCCTCCCAACAAAAGTCCGTATGGTCAAAGCAGTGGTATTCTCAGTAGTAATGTATGGCTGTGAGAGTTGGACCATAAGGAAGGCTGAGTAGCGAAGAACAGATTCTTTTGAATTATGGTGCTGGAGAAGACTCTTGAGAGTCCTTTGGACTGCAAGCAGATTGAATCAGTAGATCCTAAAAGAAATCAACCCTAACTGTTCCCTGGAAAGCCAGATACTGAAGCTGAAGCTCAAATACTCTGGCCACCAAATAAGAAGGGAGCATTCACTGGAGAAGACACTGATGCTGGAAAAGATTAAAGGTAATGCTATTGCGACTGCCCATTAGCAACTATAGACTCACTTGCCCATGTATTTTTTTGTTGCCCAAAACATGCAGTTGTGAGAGAAAAGTTCTTGAGGAAATGGATATTAAAATTTTCTTCCTTTTCTGAATCTACAAGGTTTAGACTTCTGCTGAGTACTTTGTGCAATAATTGTATAATAGACATGGCGCATTTCTGTTATACTGTCTTTTTAAATGTTTAAACCTTTTTAAAAGTTTAAAATTAATTTTTATGGTATATGGCCTATAGGCTTTTAAATCTAATCAACTGATGCTGGGAAAGATCGAAGGTAAAAGAAGGAGATGGCAAAGGATGAGATGGTTAGACAGTGTTATCGATGCAACGAACATAAGGAGCATCTTGAAGCAGATCCGGTATGCTATAGGCAGTCAGTGCAATGCACTTAGCACAGGCTGAATGTGGTCACAAACAGGGAGTCCCATTAACAGCCTGGCCGTGGCATTTTGCACCAGCTGAAGCTTCTGGATCTGCGACAAGGGCAGCCCCATGTAGAGGGCATTACAGTAATCCAATTGAGGTGACCATCGCATGGATCACTGTTGCCAAGTTTGAGGAAGGGAAACAGCTGCCTAATCAGTCGAAGATGGTAAAAGGTCGACCTGGCCGTGGCTGCTATCCGGGCCTCCATTGTCAGGGAGGCATCCAGGATCACTCTCAGACTCCTAACCTCCAGCGCTGGCACCAGTGGTGCTCCATCAAAGGTCAGAAGTGGGATCCCGACCCTTGGGCTGCCACGACTGGGGCACAGGACCTCCGGCTTCATCGGATTCAATTTTAGCTGGCTCAGCCTAAGCCATTATGGGCTAGATAAGGATTTTAACAAGTTGAAACTTCAATCCATGCAAGATAGAAATAATTATTGTGGGCTAACATAAACCAGCCTTGACCTGGATAGCCAGGTTAGCCCAATCTCATCAGATCTTAGAAGTTAAGCAGGGTTGACGTTGGCCAGTTTTTGGTTGGGAGATCATTAAGGAATATCAGGGTAGTGACACAGACCCAGGCAATGGCAAACCAGAGGCAGGCAATGGCCAACCATCTCTGAAAACCTCACCAGGGGTTGCCATAAGTCAGCTGTGAATTGATGGCAATATACAGGACAAAGTACATAAGCTAGGGTTTCTCATAGACCCTGTGCTCCTGGTGAATTCTCAAATTACTTAAAGTGGCCAGGTATAACTTTCACTAGCAGTGTCTCACCAGCCTTGACTTCCTATTGGTTTCCAGGCTCAGTCCAAAGTAGTGAAGACAGTCTTTAGAGCTCTATATAGTCTGGGATGTGCATATTTTAGAGGATATCTGCTGCTGTATATACCTGCATGTACCATCAGGTCTGCACTGCAAAGGCACAAGGCCATACCTTCTTCAAAGTGGTGCTTAACTCGGGAACATTGCCAGTAGAGGTACGTCTGGCCATTCTCTGCCAGCTTTCCTGTATTTCATTTAAATTTGATAATTCTGAAAGATTTTTACATGGAGGGATAGTAGTTGGAGCTGCTTTTTCTCCAGTGGAACTCATGTTGACATTTATTTGGTCATTTTAAAAAATGTGCTTTCTGTGTTTTCGATACTGATTTTAAATCTGATCTTTTAAGTTTTCTGTTGTGGTTTGTTATTGCTTTTAAAAAGCTGCATATCACTTGGGGTACCATCCTGATAGTGAACATAGTAGATGCAGCTGAAATAAATCTAAGTAAAATATGGTGCCCTGCCCTGGACGGCCCAGGCTAGCCTGATCTCATCAGATCTTGGAAGCTAAGTAGGGTCAGCCCTCATTAGTACCTGGATGGGAGACCACCAAGGAACTCCACGGTTGCTATACACAGGCAGGCAATGGCCAAGCACTTCTGTTTGCCTCTTGCCTTGAAAACCCTAGGAGATTGCCATAAGTCAGTTGCAACTTGGTGGCATTTTTCACCACCAAAATATGGGAGTCGAGCCTTATTCCTTTGCATAGGTACAATTTCATATCCAGGGTGCCCGAAGCAAAGCAATTCCCTTTCAAGAGGGGAAAGTATGGATGTAGCTAGGATAGGATTGCCAAAGGGATAAGAGATAATATGACCAACACCTTTCTTACCAGTTTTAGCTAGTTTCCACAATAGTGGGGTACTTAGGTTTAACTGAAATCCTTTTTTTCCCTGGAGATTCTGAATAAAATAGTTGCATGTCTCAATTCATACAATCCAGAGATGGTTAGATAGTGTCATAGATGCAACGGACATGAAATTGAGCCAACTTCAGAGGATGGCAGAAGACAGGAAGGCCTGGCGGGATCTGGTCCATGGGGTCGCGAAGAGTCGGACTCGACTGTGTGACTGAACAACAACAACAAAAGTGCTACAATAGAATGGTGGATGAGCTGTGCAAGCCCATCAGTTCCACTATGTGGACTGCTAGCTATCTTTTTATTCCTTCATCATGAGTGAGCAATCACATGTGGACCCAGTCTACATATCCATTCTCCATTTTTTTAAAGGAAAAAGATTTCACATTAATTTGGATCACCCAGGGAGTCCTGCAGAGGTCCCAGTTCACAGTCTATTTTATTAAAAGGGGGTCCATGTTGTAGTGAAAGGATACCTCTCTCCACAGGTTTCTGTGTAAAAATTACAGCTGTGGAAGGCAAATGTTTAATTGTACTCTGTTGGTGCGAACACCACTTTCAAACGTAGGTCAAAAGCTGTGGAACAAAATTTTCTACCTAGCCTTCATTCCACCTGGGTGTGGACTATGGAGGATGGTCTTTTATATGTTGGGGGCTGATAGGCTGCAATCACACACTTCTTTAGATCTGACATAGGTGCGAATGCCTGATGGATCTAAAGGGACAGGTCAGACAGCAATATCTGGTAAGCATCCTGCAGTCATCAGCAACCCGTGCTGCTCTGCCACAGAAGCAGAGTTAAAAGACACCATGGGAAGTCCAGTGTTATCTGGATAAGGCAGGCCACGGACGGACTTTCTCCTGTCTGACTGCTCAAGCACACTCTCATGCTGTTGGGATGGTCTGATCAGGCCATCCTAACTCTGTGTCGTGTTTTTCCCCCCTTTGCAGTATGCGCATCATCACATATTCCACAGGGGGCCCTCAGTGTGAAGGTTCGATTCCTCATTTATGTCCAAGGGAAACAAATGGTAAAAAAAGACTCACCCACAGTTGCATCTGATCACACAGTGATGGGCTGCACCCGCAGCTTCAAAGGACTGTGTGATCTCACAACTGCATGTCAAATTCATCTGGAGGGAACAGTCTTGCTTCCCCTCAACTTCAACTAGCGTGTGTGACCACAGCCATAGTGAACCAAATTTGCTTCCTGTGATCTCGTGATCAACAAACTCTTAAAAACTGACAATGCATTGAAATCAATAAGCTTAGAAGGATGGAGCTCTGTTTAGGATTGTACTGTCAGGCAGATAATTTTTCATCAGATAGGATAGGAGGGGTCAGATGGTACTTAAAGGGAAAACTATGTATTTTGTGAGGGAAGACAATTTCAGTAAAACACTAAGGAAGAGAGTAGAAATACCTAGAATGGATGGGAGAAAGAAAGGACAATATGGAGTATCTGTCCTTATATATAATTGAATAGTGGGTGCCAAAGTTCTAAAATGCCTGCCTTTAGTGTTAGGCCGGAAAAACTGCCACTCAGAAGACACTGGCTGAGTTGACTGGCTGCTTTGTGCAGTCCCGCCCAGCATTCCAAGGTCATTTGCATATGGAAGCTGATTGGACCACACTCCATTCCACACCTCAAACTCACCCCCCCGCAAGGCAGTTGGAATTTTCAGTTGGGAGAGGAGAATGATGTCAGCTGCTCCCTAGGCAGAGGCTGTGGGGAGGGGGGGGTTGTAAAACTTAAGACAGACAGGCAGATAAAGGTTGGCTGATGGTTGCCAACTCCAGGTTGGAACTCCAGGACATAGGGTTGCCAACCCCAGGTTGGAAACTTCCAGGATATTTTAGGGATGAAGCCTGCTGAGGGTGGGATCTGAGGAGGAGGAGGAGGAACAGGGGGACCTCAAGACAGATACAATGCCATACTGCCCACACTCCAGACAAGCTG